AATGATTGGAAAAATTCAGTAGGCATTAAATATAATGTTTTCTATCTTGATACCTACAATGTTAAAAGTGAAAGCAGAGTTTGGTGTTGACCACTACATTTGCAACTTCTTGTCTACTTTCAGGTAGATGTTATACAAAATGAAGTCAGTATGTTTTTCAGTAATCAGTTAAAAGCATGTCATGCTTTAACTCTTTAAATGGATTCATTGGTGTGACAGAGAGAACCAAGGAAATAATTTGGTATTGTCTGAGGGCGGGGGGAGAGAATGTGTGTTTGTGAATGTGTGTATGCACATACAAGTTACTAGTGTGCAAATGAGCTCTCATATATAACCACAGTACTTTTATGAATTATTTTGTATTTCTGTTGTAAAAGACCTGTCTACCAGGTTTTCTAGGAACTTTAAGCCTAAGGCAGAACTCAAGGATTTGGAGCCTGTGTAAAATAATTTATAGTACCTTTCCAGTAAGTCTTGCCCAAATTCTTATTCTATTAATTAAACATCCTGTGGCAATCTGGTGTATCATATTAAAGATTTTAAAGTATGTGTAGTAGAAAACTAGAAAACATTCACTATTGAGATTGAAGAAAACTAGCCTCTCAAAAAAAGAAAAAGAAAAAAAAAAGAAAAGTAAGACCTGCTTGTTCTGGAGATCAGTTTTTTTCCTGCTGTGGAGACATAGCCCTTTGGGCATGGACATGTTTGCTGAAAGAGATTATGCTATGGGAGTCCAACACAGTGAAATGACTGTTTTAAATGGGGCAATGCTTTTGTAGCCTTCAAGAGAGGTGGTGCATGTGTTTCTGTGGAGGAAGAGTTGTAGATAGATGGCACAGTGCTGGGAGAAGTTGGTGGCTCACCACATTGACATAATGTGAAACCTTGTTAAGAACGGATTGCCTCTTTAAGGACTGTTTGTTTAAAAGACATGTGGACTCCATCAGATGATAAATGTTGTTGGCACGCGGTATTTTAGATACAATATTCTGAAAAGTATTTTCCTGGAAAATGACGAAATTCATTTTTAAGTTTGTAAGAAACCTAGTACTGGGATCAGGACTCTGTTACAGTACTCACCCCCTCCTCAGGTATTGTTTGTTTCTGGGGCTTGAACTCAGAGCCTGGGTACTGTCCCTGAGTTTCTTTTACTCAAAGCTAGCACTCTACCACTGGGGCTGTGGTACATTAATGGAGATAAAGAGTCTCACAGACTTTCCTGCCTGGCCTGGCTTTGAACTGCAGTCCTCAGATTTCAGCCTCCTGAGTAGCTAGGATTATAGGTATGAGCTATCTAGCTCCCAATTTATATTCTTGATCTTTTTTTTTTTTTTTTGGTTAGAGACAATTCTTAGGGGAAAACATTGATATATGTTAATAACTGTTCTGTCAATTGCCCAAACAAATTTTTAGGTTACTTTTTTCCATGTTAGTACTTTGAGCTACAGATTTTCATGTTGAAAGTTAGCTGTTTGGTGACACTGCATTTGGCGGTAGGTGTATGAATGTGAGAAGGTGTTTTGGAACATTAGTAATTATAGCATTGGATGGTGGATAAAGAAATAGATATATAAATACTAGACTGATGCAGTTTTCCAGTATATGTTATTTTCCATATAAAGATATAGAACATTTCATAAAATGTTCCCAGACCATTTAAAACTCAAAGAAATGCAGCTGACGCAATGAAATACATAGAGTACTTGTAAAAACATACAGACACGCAAGTGGATTGCTGCCAGACAGAAAATTTAAAGGCGGTTTGCTTAACTGCAGGGTGCTAGGTTTTGTACATGTGCCATGCTGAAACTGTTAGTAGGGCGGGTGTTGTGTTGCTTGAGAAAAGCAGATTGTCTTTGGACCTTTTTAACTCAGATATTTCCAATGTCGATATTTTGGTGACATTATGGCATAGAGATCAATTTAATGTGAAAAAAAATGAATTCATTCTCCAGTACAAAAAGAAAATTCAAATAATTTGTTGTCAGTTCATTTTTACAGAATGGCTTTTCATAGTTTTAAAAACTATCTGACTGGATCTTTGAGCTGATTGAATGGAGCTTGATAATTTGGACTTGGGTTTAAAAAGTTTTATCTTTTATTTTCAAGTATTTCTGAAAATGTACGAAACAATGGATTTTAGTTTAAAAACATTTATCTTTTATTTCAAAAGAGTATTTTTGAAAATGCAAAAGACAAATGAAGTTTACTTTTTGGGTTACAGAAAAGACTTAAAACTAAAAATTTTATACTTAATTATTTTGTGCATGAGTTGTGGTGAATTATGTGTGAACTGTCTTGGAACATTCTATTCACATGTGGGCTATACCTTTAGGGATTGTCTTGGGAATTTAGTTGATGTTGTTTATAAAGTCTTCCATCAAGGCTTTGTTTAGGATAGTAAGATTGGAATGGCCTTCATCTTAGCATGTCAGGGTCATCCCTCCCTTCATTACATTAGTGAAGGCAGATTGTTCTTTTTGCCATTTTTTTTGTTTTGCTTTCAATTCTGCTATATTGTATACATGAAAAAATGTGTTTTATGGTGATTAGTTTCTAATGGTTTCTTATGAAAAGACTTTTAAAGAAATGTAAGAAGTTTTCTTTGCCTATGAGCAAGCAATTTACTTTTTAAAAATTGAAGAATGTGCCACACACTTTGGTTTCTACTGTTTGTCTCTTTACAACATGGTGATAGAAAAAGGTCTCTTTTTTTTAAAATTCCTATTGATATTTGTGGGTTCTCAAAAAACACAAACTACTACAAGGAAGACATGATATTAAAGATTAATATTGGAGTCATATCTGTATGAAATTTTCTAGCTGTAGAGTGTTAGCCACATGACAATTGGAAGAAAAAGAACAAGCAATACATAATTTTGTGGTTTTCAGCTTGCAGTGGCTTAGAGTTTGGACCAAATTTTAAGTATTTATGTGTGTTTCAGGAATTATAGCCACTGTGCTCTTTTTCTTAGGTCCTTGTCTTTCCATGGTTCACTTGGAGGTTGGTTGAGCATCCTGATAGCTAATTCCTCCTTATAGGCCTGGAACAAACTAACCATTTCTAATCTGGAAAACTGAAATGCTCAAAATTATAGATTACAGAATTTTGGATTAGGAATGGTCAACTGTCAACCAGTGAAGCAAATATTAGAAAAAAAAATCCAGAATCTGTAATATTTCTTTCTGGTACCAAGTATTTTGGACTTTCCCCCCTGGTTTTAGTACCTTTGACCTCCTGTCTCAAGAAAGCCAACTCCTTGTGAGATTTTTAGCTGTTCAGGCCAAAAACAGGCAGCTACTTCTTCATCTGGCGCACAGAGCTGCCTTGAAAAGTCCTATAGAAGACGTTATTCTAGGATTCTGCTACTCACCATGTAGAAACATCATTTGTCCCTTCTTAGCAGTTGAAGTCGAAAGTAAAGAGAAAAAATGATCCCTGCTTTTTAAAGTCACATAGAAGGGTAGCTCAAGTGCCAAAGTGGTCTGCATATAAATTTCAACTCTTTTGCACCAACCATATTGGTAAACACTACTTTTGGTGTGACTTTTAAAGTATTTCTGCTTTTGGTGTGACTTTTGATTATTTTTGCTTTTGTGTTTTTTTTTTTTTTCGTCGGCCGTGGGGCTTGAACTCTGGGCCTGAGTGCTGTCCCTCAGCTCTTCAGCTCAAGGCAAGCACTCTACCACTTGAGCTATAGCGCCACTTCCGGTTTTCTGGTGGTTTATTGGAGATAAGGGTTTCACGGACTTTCCTGCCCAGGCTGACTTTGAACCTCAGTCCTCAGATCTCAGCCTCCTGAGTAGCTTGGATTACAAGCGTGAGCCACCGGCGCCCAGCTGTTTTTGTTATTTATCTTGGGTTTAATATCAATTGGCTTTAATGACTTGAAAACTGATATTTCTAGAATTTAAATATAGTAGACAGATAGGCCTTTCATTTTTTTCTTCTTGATTCTTCACTGAAGAAAATTAACTGTTTTTTCTTCTTGATTCTTCACTTAAGAAAATTAACTGTTTCTCTGTAAGTTGGTGTTTTGGAAAGTGAGTACTATATATTGTGAGGTCACTATTAAAAGGGGATACCTTCAAATACTGTGCTTTCCCATAAACTTTGCACTGATACATGATTTCCCACATAGAAGTTATTCTCATTACGCCAAAGTACCAAGTCTTTTTCTTATTAGAAAAGATTGAATGTTTCCCAAATCGATAGTAAATGGAGGGCTAATAGCTTTTAATTAGTACACTTCTATATTGACTTACAGACATGGTGTTGGATTATCTTGCAATTATGATTTAAGAATCCAGTGACCCATTTAGTAATTTTACTCTGAATAGATTTGCAAGTGGTATTTTTGCCTAGGAAAATTTATAGTTTCTTAGCAGATCTATACTAGCTTATACTATCATTTTTGTAATATTTGGTTTACAACATCAAGTCAAAAGTGTTGGTTCTGTTTTGAAGAAAATATCTAAATTTAGCTGTATTTTCATGAGTTCATAAGCACTTGGGAAATAATATTTTTTATTTTAAAAAGTGTAGAGTTTTCCCTTTGTTCCTTGAAAGAATTCTTTACCCACTCTCCCTTTCTCCCTAGTCTGAAATTGGTGCTTTAGGTTTATCAAGGCAACATCTGTAATGATGTAAAGGAGATTGCTGATTAGTGAAGAAAAGTCAAGCAGGTTTAACTCATTTTCTCTGGAAAAAAAATATATTGAGGACAATTTGCAGTTGGCAAGATTTTTTGCATTAGGTAATAGTCTAAAGTTAACAGTAGCATCAGGTCTTTAAAATTTTTCTTTTTTATATTTCTAGAGGAGGGTAATGGGAGTGTCTTGCCGAGCCCTTCCTTGTGCTCATCAGCATAGCAGCCTCAGCTGCCCCCCTTGGATCCCCTGCCAGGGCTGCTATCATCTTCTGATCAAATATTAATGTGTGATCCTCTGCTTGCTCACTAATCCAAAGCCAATTAATATTATCTGTCAATTATTTACAGATCCTGAGGTGCAGAGGCAATTCCCGGAGGACTACAGTGACCAGGTTTGGAATGCGTAATTAATTTTTTACATGACAAAATTTATTTCAGAGTTGTTCAACATATTATTACTGTTCTTTTTACTGAAAGAGATAAATGAAATTTTAGAAAGGAATAGAAGCAGTAATTAGGAGCCAAAGACAAAAAGTAAAACAGAGAAGTAGGATAGAAAACATTAGCTCTAGATTTGGGAGTTTTCCTTCAGGGAAAAGATGTACAGAAACTAAGCAAGAAAACCTATCACAGATACCACTTTTTACTTTGAGGTATGTTGTCATCTGTAGTTCATTAAGCAATCCATGAACTCTCCTTCTACCCTCCAATGCTGTTTAAGCAGCCAAGAAGCTATATAACCAAAAAGGGAGGGAGTTTATATAATTTCCTACAATTTGAAATAGATGATGAAACTACCTGTTACCATAGTACTAAAAGAAGAAGACACGCATGCATAAATAGTTCTTAGGATCAATGTGGTTCCAATGATTATAGCAAAAGTTAAGGCTGACTAGTTGATTCTACCATCTCAAATTTCCACCTTTTGCAGACAGAATGGTGGTGTAACGGATATTTTACTCATATAATAACACTGAAGTTCTGGTGTTGCTTTACTCTTTATAGTTTTACTTTATTCATCCAAGATTCCATTTTTTTGTCGAGAAATACTGAAGATGTTCTGTAGCTTTGTTTGATACTTTACCTTTCTAGTTCAAGTATGTAACTTGGTATATTTCTTTGAGCATTTTGAAAACAAAAGCATCATTGATTACCCTTGGTAAAGCAATTTTATAAAACCTTTCACATGGGAGATATTGTACATAATTAAGTCATGTTTTTGAAATAGAATCATCTAATTTTTCTCCTATTAAAAGCCTTTAAGCTGGACACACTGGTGGCTCACATCTTAATCCTAGCCACTCAGGAGGCTGAGATCTCAGGATCATTGTTCAAAGCCAATCCTGGGAGGAAAGTCTGAGACTTTCATCTCTAATTAACTACCCCTTTCCTCCCCAAATAAAAGCCAGAATGAAAATGTGCTCAAGTGGTAGAGTCCTAGCCTTGAGCAGAAACAAACAAACAAGAAAAGGAAAAGGAACAGTGCCCTGGTTCTGAGTTCAACCCCAGTACTTGCACAAATACATAAAAAGTCCTTAAAATGAGGATAAATATAATAGAACAGAAGTGTCTAGGCCAGTAGCTATAACACCTTGCATTGTGGCCTTTTTAATGGCAAGAAAGGTAATCTGATGTATCTTTTTTTTTTTTTTTTGGTCTTTGTTCCTCAGCTATTCAGCTCAAGGCGGGTGCTCTACCACTTGAGCCACAGTGCCACTTCCGGTTTTCTGATGATTAATTGGAGATAAGAGTCTCACAGACTTTACTGCCCAGGCTGGCTTTGAACTGTGATCCTCAGATCTCAGCCTCCTGAGTAGCTAGGATTACAGTCATGAGCCACCAGTACTGGCCTGATACATCTTTTTTAAATGCAGGGGTTATAATGTGACCAGGAATGAAACTGGATAAGCATTGTAATGTCATCCTTTGAGATGAGATCTTACTCTACAAGAACCCAAGAGAACTGGTCTGATTTGCTTTGTGCCTTATCTCAAGACTAACATATGCTTTAAAAAAATATTAAAAATTTTCTCTCTACCCCTTGGTAAATGTTAGGTAATTATTACTTTGAACGTACTTGAGCCTATAGATCTTAAGAAAGTTATTGTTCTAAAATTTTGTGTCTAAGTAAATAACCTTTGTGATCTCATGATCTGAACTATCCAGTAAAACAAAGTGTAGGAGAAAATTTAAAATAGAATAGTACCATCTGTGTCTATTCCTCTAAACACAGTATCTCACTATATCTGAAAAATTTGAGCAACATGATTTTTTAAAGTATAACTTTAAAAATTGCATGGGTAATATGTTTATACAAAAATGCTGAAAATATAAAGCTAAAATAAATTTTAAAAAGAATGAAAAAGAAAATACAAATCATCTGTTATTAATCATAGATTACTGCTGCTATTAATTTGGTATTTATCTTTCTATGTTTATTTCTTCTAAGTACATGTATATGTGTACATGTTTGAAAAAGGTATGTGTATATGCATGCATGTACTATATGCATGCATTTGTATGTACAGTGAGAAATACAGACTATTTCTTTTTCTTTTTTATTTTTTTTATTGTGAAAATACTGTACAGAGGGGTTACAATTACATGGGCAAGATAATGAGTATATTTCTTATCAAACATTGTAGCCTCCTCCTTTGTTTCCCCATCCCATCCCTTCCCATCCTCCTCCTGCCCCCCCAATCCTCCCCGCTCCCCCACTGTCCCCCACCAAAGTTGTAAAGTTCGTTTTCGACATAATGACTTGTACATCTCATTGTTGCAATGGGTCCACCTGTATCCCTATTTAAATGATTTAATACAGACTATTTCTATACTTTTGTGGCAACTGCAACTTAGTTTACTGATTTGGTATTTTCATGTTATGAAGTTCTTCTTATTTTGATCAAAGAAAGGCTTCACAAACCATTGTCATTTCATATAATGAAAATGGCATAATTAAAATTGTAGGAGGAATGTAAACAATAATAGCTTTACTTATTTATTTAAAGCTGTTCTAGCTTTAGTTATTTTAAAGGTGCTCATATGATAGTAGTAGTATTGTTTTCTTTGTTTACACCAGTGACATAATTTTAAAATTTGAAGAACTGTATTTATGGACTAGATATAAACTTACAGGGGTGTATATATCACTATTTAACAACATCTCCAACTTGAGACAAATTAATTCCCTTTGACCTCATGTAATTCAGACATGAAGATCTATTTTGCTTTTGAAGACATGCTCCCAAGTTTGAGAATTATATTTGTTGTTAATGAAAATATGAATTGCTTTTTTCTTTTTACTTTTTTAAAATCATTTAAATTCTAATTATATGTATTTTTTACACCATATCATTTGTTTCAGTAAATTTTTCTCCTTATTGTGCTGTCATAAATTCTTAGAAATAGTTCTGTTATATACAAACTTTAAATGCTGAATCTGCACTTAATCTAGACAACGGTTTCTAATAGTAAAACATTTATGATGTAATCCTTTAGGAATATTTAAGATAATTGACCAAAAAGTATAGTATATGTTACTGCATGTGTATGCACACATGTGCACAGACACATACACAATCCCTTCCCTCTCCAGTTTTTCTTCCTTATTCGCTAAACTACCAATGCTTGTTTTTACATATAGTGTATTTCCCATGTACCAGCACACTTGATCAGAGACGCTTGCTGCTGCTAGATGTTTTATTCTGTGTGTTCTTTGTACCTTACAGTAAAAGAATCTGTCACAAATTATTGTGGCTCACTGCTTTAGAAACTGAGAAAAAAGGGAGGTTAGATTGACATCTGTGAGTGAATAATGATGACCAGCCTTTTGGCTCTCCTTGAGCCACAAAGCTAGCACTGCCTTTAGAGTGGAAAAAGAAGTAAGAAGAAAGGGGAGGGATAAAAGAGAGTTACAAATCTGTGGTCCCGGAGATGTATTACTGTTGGGCCAGTTGTCTGCGTGGTATGATAATCCATTTTGATCTTTTTGGTCTTAATTGTCTGCTAAAGACAAATGGGCAGTAAAAGTTCATCAGTTTCATCTTTTTTGCTTCTCGTTTAGAAGCAGAATAAATGATCCATCACTACAGAAAAAAGCCTTTCTTTCTGTCACAGAAGTAATGCAGACCCAACACGTTTTATTAAAATGTTTTCCCCTCATTATTTCAGTCTTCTCAGCTCTGATAGATCTTACTGTGTCATAAAAAATGTAATCTGAAATGTAAATAAGGGTCTTGATACAGAGAAGAAGTAATGAGCGGCCTGAGCCACATTTTAGGACTCTTGATTGTAATTACTGACAAAGTGATTTCTGTGTCCCATTTTTTTTTTTTTTCCTCCTTAAGTTGTCTGTGACACCCTTAGACCACAATGGCATTTGTGGTTTAAAACTATCAAATCACTATAGCACTCTGTTTTATTTAAGATATAATAAGCCTGCTATCTTTAAACCAGAAAATAGAGGCTTGGTTAATTCCTGAAAGACATGTAGTACCTTTTTTGTTGTTGTTTTTTAAGTGAAAAGCAAACACAAAAAGGCAAAAGAAAGTTTTTTTTTAGAGTTCACATTACTCATTCATCTGCTTTTGTTTAAAACTTAGGTAGAATAAATACCAAAACATCAACATTGGTAGGATCCTAACTTGAAAAGGATCTTGTATTTTAAAAAATCTTCTATCAGCTTACCTTTGAAATTAAAACAATGTATGTTCTCATAAATATAATTATGAAATAGTCTTTTCAGAGTTAAGATTGCTAACCTATGGGTAAAATTTGAGTTAATTTGGATTTGGATAGCTCTCTAGATTTTTTTTTCTAGTATGTTGGAATAACTTTTTGCATTGTGGTGCTTAATCAAAGCTTGCCCAGTAGAAAATTTTCTTTAAAAAGGACAGAAGCATAATAATAATAATAGTAGTAGTAATAATAATGCTTCTTGTCTAGAAATGGTTATTCAAAGATGATATGTCAATCAGACATTAAAAATAAGAAAAAATATGAATAAATCCATGAAAATTTTGTAGTTAATTAGGTGGCTTTATAATTACTCCATTATGTTTACTGTGTTCATTCATAATTATGAAAATAATTGATAAAACTTTACTGATTATCTTAGTTCAGTTTTAATGAGTACTAATTGAATTAAAGGAGAAAAGAATAGCTAAACTAACATGTTAACAAATGATAGTCACTACTGTCAGCAAAACATTATATATTTTTCAAAACATTATATATTTTTCAGATTAAGAAGCCAGTACCCTTTAGTAATTATAATAAATACTGTGGGATAGTTTGCAATAAACATACAGTAACCTATCAAAAGAAGATTTCCATAGATAGCCTTGTAATGTATCCAGTATAATAGGTATTACAAAGTTTTAAAACATTATTT